CCAGAAGACACGTGCACACTGCAAATGCTTAGCCTTCCCCCGAGTTCACTCTCCACTTGGTTGATTTGAAAGAAACAAAAATCCTTTCATCTGAATAAGTTGCTTGCATTTGCATGGTACTTTGTATTTTTCAAGTTACTTTTGTATAAATTATCTCCTGACCTTCACAGTAATCCTGTGAGTGGCATTCTCCCTAACTTAGAGATGAGGAAACTAAGACAGGAAAATGAGTGAATCTCCCTAGGCCCAGAGCTATTGAACAGCAGAACCTAATCTAATTAGAACTGAGGTCTCTTGAGTCAGTTAGTCTCACTTTGGTACTTGATCTTCTGTTTGTTCCATGCATTTATTCAACGAATATTTGACGAGTGTTTTCTATACACTAGGCACTGAGCACACAGTGGAAAGGAAAACAGACCTGGAATATAGTGACAATATAGAAGAAGATAAGCAGGAAAAGTCACTCCCTCGGTGTTAGAATCACATATACTTCCCCTTGGTGTTCACATGCATCTCCAGACCTCAATTACCAGAACATACCCCGATACACATAGCCATTCCTCCCCTTCTCCTTAGCCTATGAGAGCTATAGCCACCCCACTCCTTGGGTGCCATACAAGGGACCCCTCACCTGATGTCCAAATTGGTTGCAAGGGAAGCCAAGAACCACCAGGCGCCTGGGGTAGCGGCATTGCAGCTCGTTGAGTTGGGTGTAGTCCCGAGTGGTTGTGCCTCAGAGGGAGGCCACGTTCTCGATCAACACTGCCCTGCCTCTGAATGTACTGAAGTCGACCTTCTCCCCGTGCAGGCTGATTGCACTGAGGTCGTAGAAAGACTTGGCAATGTGAGCCATGGTGAAAGAGCAGTGAGCTCAGGCAGAGTGACCGAGCCCCCTTCAGGGACTATAAAAGGGATGGGAAGGGAGGAGGAGCCTGGAAGGAGGTCCCAAGGCTCTCACAATGGGGCCTTGAACATCCTCAGGATGACTTAGCAAAATCAGCCACCACCTGTGCTGTTTCAACAAGCAGGTTCGCCTCTATTTACAGAGACACCTGAACAAAACCTCCCCGCCCCACCCTGCTGGCAACTGGGAAGGACCAATTTGATAGCTATGAGCAGGCATGAATAATTTACTATTAGCTGGAAACAGGAGCCCCAAAGGTCGAGTGGGGAGGAAAAAAGGGAGGGAGAGATGCAGGATTGACTCCTACCTGCCCCACCGAGTTGCTTTCACTTGGCACAGACATTTATTGAGTGTCCGCTGTGTTGCGCCAGGCTCTGAATTGTGCAGTGAAGAGGGCAGGGTCAGCAGAGATAGAAAAGATGAGGAAGAGAATGGAGTGCGTGTCTCCTTGACCCAGCCTGCAACTGAAATATAGCTACTGATTGATAAGTCAACTGATAGAATACTGTTGGCATTTTTCTCATTGTTTGGTGCTCTCCACAGCACAAAATCAAAGAGACCCTTAGGAGGACAGTGGGTGGTTTTCTAAAATAATGGCTGTCAGTGCTTCGGCTTGCACCAGCCTGAAACAATAAAGTGTGTCTGTCTCAAAAGTCAGTGAGTGGGGCCTCCCGGGTGGCACAAGGAGTTAAGCACCGCACTATGAAACAATCCACAGCCACTGCAGCATGAGTTCAATCCCCAGCTGGCCAGGGAGCAACCTACATGGCGCAGCAGACCTCTCCTGACTCGCCCGCTGCTCCCCTCGGCGGTGTATTTCAGTCAGTCTGCCTGTTCTGTTCCCCACTCTGTCTCTGGTGAATCTTCTCACCCCCACCCCCCACCCCCCACGTCTCTGGCCTGTACCCCAGCTCTTGTATGAATAAATAAATCTTTAAAAAAAAAATAAGTCAGTGAGTGATGGTTCTTGTCCTGCAGACCACATCTGCCCTTACCCTTGCACTGGACCATCTCTTACCCTGAACCCACACCTTAGCCCCATAGGGTCACCTGGCAGAGTTGTGGCCAGGAAAATGATGGGAAGGAGTCACGGAGCAGGTGGGTATTCAGAGGGAATGAACCACACCTACCTCTGCTCAAAGGCTCAGTCCCCAGAGACTCTCCAGAGGGGTCTTATGCTGCTCATCCCCGCGCCCCCCCCCCCCAGCCACCCACCTAGAAGGCAGTCTGCAGGGTGTCAAGGCTGCAGTGTCTGGACCCAGTTAGACCACGCATGATGCTTTCAACACCAGACAGGCAATTGCCAAAGGCCAGCTCCGGCAAAATGTCGTGTCAGGGGTTCCTGAAAGGATGAGATGGCGTCGGGGAAACAGGGATGAGGGAAAAGGGAATGAGGAGACACAGACACTTGATCCAGGTGCAGGTATCTCCTACTGAGGGTCTCAGCGGATCTTTATTAACACATTCAGACAAGCAGTGAGATTACACCAACATAGGCATGGAAGCAAAGCAGAAACAATCAGTGCATTCTTTTCCCATGGACATTTGGCTCCTACGTGCTCTCAGCAAGAAGGTAACCTTCACGATTAGTAGATAAAAAAGCTAAACCTTCCACTAAAACTCATTATTTCAGCTTAGTCAATTACCTAAGACGGCTGATAGCCGTCGGTACACTCCTATCAGCAAAAGCCTATGCATCAAAAGACTCCTCTGTCTTTATGGCCTTCAGCCAGAGACCAGCTGCTTCCTGGTTATCAGCTAACAGGGTTTTCTACCTAGAAACTTCTTAACACAATTAACTTCATAGATCATTAAAAAAACTTTCCTAAGAAACTTCTAAAAAAAGCAAAAGAAGGAATTACTATAGTCATTGTCCTGGATTGCTTGTCAGGCATGTTCATGTATAACAAATTATTTCCCATTGTCAGGCAGGCCAAATTTACAGTGTTTAATTTTTAAGCAGGTATTTCTTTGTGCCATTTACTTACAGTATTCTTATACATATAATTTATTGACCAATTTACTTTCCGAGAAGTTTTTTCTTAATTGACCAGGAACAAAAAACAAGGGGATGTTTGTGGGTTGCAGATTAATCTTCGGCCCCACAGTGTGGGGTGCAGGGAATCTTCAGCCCCACGGTGTGAGGCCCTTTCTTTTGTTTACCAGTGTCTTAGCTGGTTGGGGCAGCAAGGCCCCCTGCAGGCAATGCCCTAAGGACATTGAGGTCCCATGCAGGGCTTGAATAGAAGCCCAGCCCCCTGGCCCACCTCATTCTTCCAAGCACACACTGCTCCACAGATTACCTTTCTTTTTACTGCCTGCATTTCTCTATTAGTAAAAACTGGCAATTAGGCTTTACCTGGGAGTTAAATTTGAAAAGTAACACATGTTTGCTATGGAGTGTTTTCACAGCTACATGTCCGTTGGGAAGTGTCTCCTAGAACAAAGTATAAACAAGACCAGGGAGCAGCTGGTCTTGAGAATCTGATTTGTTGAGAAGATGGAGGAACAACTGGCCAGGGATTGCCAGTTTCTGACTTTTGTAGCCTTTTATGGCTGTGTAGCATGTGGGAACCCATGTCTCAACTGGCTGCCCCCTAAAGACAATCTCCATTCCGAAATAGGAAGGGAATATCTTACCACTAGGTGTGTCAAGAAATGCAGAATGAAATGGGTCTTCTGCTGAATCTGGGTGGAGTTCCCAGGAATAGCCAATAAATCTCCCTGCCAAGCCACTGAGTCAGAGGACTTGGCCCTGAGAGTGGGCTAAACTTTAATATGAACTCGCCAGATTTATCTGCACACCTAGAGCTCCCCCAGGACTCTCTCAGCAATCAGGCACCTCTTCTTGACTGCCCTCCTGCAACCTTTCCAGGAAGGCTGGGGAGTGGGAGCTCCCGTTTCCTTTAGGTACATGCCCTCCCTTTTCTGCTAAGTGCAATCCAGGACCCATTGACCCAATTCTCCCTCACCTTTCATGATTGAAAAAAAAACTATGAGATTTTCCTAGAATACCTCTTTGTCTCCAGCTTTACATCAAACTGGCCTGCTTTGCAGAAGCTTCTAACATTGGACGTGCCCTGCACTAACAAGTGTGTGATTCCACGACTTTCCACAGAGACAACAGTTGTTCTGGAAATGGCACTGGCATAGTAGGCAGAAAGCCTAGGCTGGTGATTCTCAACTCTGGCTGCAAGTGGGAATTACATATACAGATTTTTCTAAGTAGTGATGCTTTACCCTGCTGCAATTTCATTTGTCTTAAGGTTCCTCGGAATCCTTAAGCTAATACTTTGAACTCTTTGAGCATGTGTTTCCTTATCTGTTGAACTTAGTCACCCTCCTTGTCTTACATCAATGTGATTTTTAGTATTCAGGAAAAAAAGCATTACAAGCGCTCTATAACTAGAAAGCTCAGGTAGGATCTCAGACTACCACTCCACGGCCCTACCTTGTCTTATTCTTTCCTTCTTTATTCTATCTTTACCCCCATCCTCTGCCTTTTGCATCAATTCTGTAACCCTAGGTCAGTATTAACTACCACCCAGGCTCCTGAGATTCCAGAACCCCTCTTCATGCTTTAAGAAGTTCTGTCCAAGTTCCACCCCAGACAAATAAGAAACTTCTTGGCTTTAAAGATTCCCTCAGAGGGCTAATCAACATCTTTGAAGTTTCTGCTCAATCTGTTTCGGCAGTGTTAGTCCAGGGTGGAGCCCTAAAGGCTTTACTTGGGGCTCCCCTGGCATTTGGAAGGGTTCTGGAAGGTTTCCTCCCAGCCCTGCTCTTCTCTCCCATTTTTTTAAAAGATTTATTTATTTTTATACAAGAGTTGGGGTACAGGCTAGAGGCGTGGGAGGGTGAGAGGTTTCACCAAAAGACAGTGGGGAGCAGAATAGGCCAATGTATCGAAAGCACTGCTGAGGGGAAGTGTGGGCAAGACAGGAGAGGTTCTCCACGCGATGTAGGTATCTCTCTGGCCAGCCGGGAATCAAACCCGCACTGCAGAGGCTGCGGACAGCTTCACAGCGCTGCGCTCAACCCGCTGCGCCACCGGGGATGCCCTGCTCTCCTTCCCTTTAACTGCCAGAGCCCTACTCCCACAGATTCATCCATCAGCCACACCTGTGGTTTGAAATATTTTTTATTTTGTAAACATTGGTGTTTAAAATAGATGAACCCTGTTCACAATTCATATACTGGACCCGAAACACAGTACAGAGTTCACCCATCACAGGGAGATGGTGGGGGCTCAGGAGCAGGTGGAAGGCCTGGGGCTGGGCTGAGTCTCAAGACAGCAGGTGCAGAGGTGGTGCAGAGGCAACAGGCAGGAGTGCCTGCTCAACAGTCTGGGCCTAATGCCACATCCCAGGCCACCTCCCAGACCAGAGAAGTTTGGGAGTGAGAGGCTGACTCTGGTACCTGGTAAGCATAGCTGCGCCCTAAAACCCCAACCCTCCTCTTGCTCCCATACCTTTCCCAGCGGTGGCCCTTGTGGATGGGGCTAATTAGGCCATAGAATTCCAACCCCATGTTTTCCCTTCCAGAACCACTAGGGTACAGTAAGAATATCTCCCCTGACCTGAGGGGCTAGGAGAGACAGGCAATGCACTCCACCTGACCCACAGGGAAAGCTGCAGCACTGACCCACAGGCTGGAGCCAGTGCCCATTATGGCTCCTCCTTTCTGCAGCCCCTGGCTGAGGACAGACCGAGGGCTGGCTCCACCAACCTCCCCACCCACCCCTAGTGTGATGCTGCCTGTGTCCAGACCCCCAAGGAGTCAGTCCTCAAGGAAGCATCTCCAGTTATTGTCATGACTTCATCCGGAAGTCAGCTCTCTAAAAAGTCTTCTTAGCTAATGATTAAAACTATCCCTGCGCTCCTTTTCCTTTCACAAGGCTAAAGGAGCTCCCATTCCTGAATCCTGAGCTGTTCTAAATCCTCTCCTGCTGTTTCCTACTTTGATAAGAGTCAGGAGGAAAGGTTTGGCGGTTTCATCCCTCACCCCTTTTTTGGAGTAGGGAAGTAGGGCTCTTAAGCCTTTTCATGTGTGAGCTTTGGTCCTTAGTTGGTGAGTATTCAATGGGTGGGTCTGTTTCAGCTTCAGCCCCAGCCATGCAGTGCAGCTAATATGTAGCTGAAGAGTGACCTTCCTACCCAGCTCCGCCTCGCCCACCTTAGCAAGGGGGGGAGGAATTTGACTAGAGCTAGCAACTGACTCATTCCTTCCTTAGAGGTCCTCCTTGAAGCTACTCTTAGGCCATATGGGGTAAAAGACACTTCTTACCTGAACAAAGAGCTCAGGAGGAGGGAGTTGGCTTCCCTCCATCTACAGCCACAGTGCAGCTGGCAAACCCTCAAGCCTCCTCTTTGGAGGCCAGAGGAGCTCATTGTCCTGAAGGCTGAAGAGAACAGCACTGATCAGTTCCGTCTCGGCCTCCTTTCTTTCTTCCCACAAAATTCTGCCTTTCTCCCACAAACCTTGGGTCTTGGGAAAACCTTGAGAGCCAAAGGCTGAGTGAAGGGCCACTGGCGTGGTTATATCCCCTCTCACCGGGCAGGGAGTTGTGGGAAAATGCCCTCTTTTATACAGCAACAGAAGACGGGGCCAGGAAGTCCTGCTGCTGCCTTACTCCCCTCTGGTTTGCAAACTGCTGTCCCCGCCCACTGTCTCTTGATCTTGAACCTGATATATAGGAGATAGTCCTTTATTTCCAAAGGCTCCCCTTTCTGCAGTGTGTGGCAGGCTTGTCAGGATCACTGGCCTGGGGCTTTCCCTGCTCCTGCAGTGCCCTCAGGCCTTGGTCTGTGTCTTTAAGTTCAGGAGCCCAGAAGGGGAGAAATTGTGCACACGCTGCATGGGAGGTAGAGAATGGAGGTGACTTTTTATTCCTGCCACCCCTCATCATTTAGTTTTCTTCTCGAAAGCACCTGCCTCTGAGCTCGGTTCCCCCAAGAAGCAGGCGAGCAGGTAGCCAAGCAAGGCTAGAGCTGAGGGCAGGGCTAGGAGAGGTAGGACAGCCCTAGACTGAGATCCACCAGTTGGTGTTTCCTCCTTCCTTGATGTTCCATTTTCCCAGATCATTGGTGTCACAGGGGAGGACAGAATAAAAAGAAGCACCCCGTAGCCTTAGTCAGCCCCCTGGCCCCTACAAAGCAGGGGGGGGCGGTCTCCCAGGAGCAGAATCTAGAACATCCCCACAAGCCTGAGCCCATTCCCTTAGACAGCATTAGGAAGGAGGAAAGGAAGAAGCTGCACCAGCAGCCACACAGCAGGACACACAGAGGGAAATGGCTGTGAGGGGCTTTGATACAAAACACAGCGGTGGGGAAGGGCACAGAGAAAGGGAAGTGCAAGGAGAGAGAAAAAGTGGAGAAGGGACAAGATGCACTGAGAAAGGAGGCTTAAAGTGGCCTTGACTCCAGACTCAGCCATTGTCTGGAGAGCTCAGGCGGTGAGACAGTGCCCGCAGCACGTGTGGGGGCAGAGCAGGCCTGCGCTGGGGCGGCAGCTACAGGAGGCCGCCCCGGGCGGAGGGGCTTGGGGCAGAGGCTGCTCAGAGATGACGGCGCAGCTGCGCTCAGGGCCGGGCGGGGGGAGCAGCTGCTGATATTCCACAGGGTCGCCCAAATGTGAGGAGAAGCAGGGCAGAGCCCAGACTCCTGTCTGCCCACAGGCCTCCTGCCAGGAGGGGGGCTTGTGTGGGGCGGGTGCTCCTCGCAGGACCCTCAGCACCAGCAGGTTTTTGAAGAGTTAGCTGTGCCCTCAGGTTTGGCCTCCTCCTCCGCCAGCTCTGCCAAGGCCAGCTCATGGCTGGCACGTGTCCGGATGCCATCCAGCTCCTTCCTGTGGGCCTGTAGTACCAGCTCCGTCAATCGTGTGAAAGACTGGGAAACCGAGGGGCACAGGTTAGTCTGGGGTCTCCTCCTCCTCTTTCCCCGATGACCCCATATCTGCTCCAGTGGGGAGAGCTCACTTTATCTTGGCTCCTATCTGCCACCTTCTCTCAACTCCCTACTCTGCTGAACTCAGCCAGAGGGACAGGGCAAGTGGGCTTCAGAGCTCTCACCTCTTTAATGTTGAGGTTGGTGCAGGCACTTGTTTCATAGAAGTCCATGCCATACTCCTTAGCCAGCTGCAAGAGAAGAACATTTCTGAAAGGGAGTCCGAAAGGAAGCAAGGTGCATTTGGCACATACTTCTGCCACTGCACTTAAAGGCAGGTAACCTCTCAGATGAGACAAGGAGCTTGAAACCATAGGCTGGCAGAGGGTGGGAGGAGATGCCCCACTAAAAGGCCCCCTCACATACACACATTCACATGCCTCCCATCAGAGGACGCCCACCAAAATGTTTCGGCAGTTTGGTAAATGAACGTGAAACAGCTCCCACAGAAGAAACCGGTGTCTACTGGCTGACCGAGCTGTCTGCCCTTGGGCAAGTAACTTTAAGCGCCAGCTTCATCATCTGGTAATGGGGGGTGAGAGTGCTGCCAGCCCGGGTGTGGAGTGACTGAGTGGGTCACACATCTTGAAGCGCTGGCTCAGCAAGCGCCACGCAGACAGTGCTGAATGAAAACTATTATGCTAGTAGGGTATCCTCGCTTTCAAATTTTTCAATGACCATGTATTATTTTTTTATACCAAAAAATCAATTTTATTTTAAGTGCTAGTGGAACGCTATTGACTGAAGAGAGAGAGAAGCTCTTGAGTCCTCGGAGTGGGTGGAGGACTCTCGGCCCAGTACCTGGTCTCTTCCTTCCTGGCCTCGGGGGATGGTCTCCCTGTGTGCTTAGACTTTCCTTCAGCGGCTTCCTCCTACCCTCTCTACCTCCAGAGCTTGTCCAACTGTGTGCTCTTCATGCCCTCATGTTCCTTCCCACTTCTCTGTCTAAGGTCTAAGGAGGGTGGGGAGTGGGGAGTGCAGGGCTGGGATGACCGTAGGTGTGGCTATGCCTGGAAGCCGGTAAAGGAGTCAGCAACTCGACGTCCTTCCTCAGCGCTTCAGCAGCGGGGAATCCAGCTTTAGGGGACCTGGACCTGGGAGAGTTAGTGCCCAAGAGGTCTTGCTTTCAGGATGGACCTTAAATCAATGTCCTTGAAGGACCGAAAGCAAACTCTCAAGGATGGCAGCTCACCCATTGCCTTAGGGTACTGTGGGGGCTGTGAGGGTGCCTGATCAGGTATAGAATCCTGGGTGCCAGCTCTCAGGACTGCGTCTGGAAGGCAGCGGGAGACCAAGGGATGGATTCAGCCAGCCCACTTTCACTTACCTGCTGCCCCTGTTCTCTTCCCACCTGCCGTTTCTGCTCTTCATCAGCCTTATTTCCTATTAGGATCTTCTGGACACCTTCTGGTGCGTACTAGGGACAGGACAAAGAACGGACAGTGAGTGCTAACTTTCCCTCCCACCTCCCCACCATGCAGTCTCCACTGGCCTCCACCCCAGCACCCAGCTTTAGAGCCTAGAGATGGAGAAGGTACAGGTGCTCCCAAGCCCACAGCTGACCCCAGGAATGCCAGAGTGGTGTCACAGGGACAGTTTAGGGTAGAATACACTGGGTCCTACCAATGTGTCCTTGGACAAGTGGTATCTGGGCCAGTGAGGAAGACATTGGATTCAAGTCCAAGCCCTCACTCTACAGATGAGGACTGGGAACCAGAGTTCCTATGGCTTGCCCAACGCTCCACAACTATTGTGACAGAACCAGGACTAGAACCCCAGTCTCAAAATTCCACCAGATCTTGAGATTTCAGCAAAGAAATTATTCTGACCTAATCATCCCTGGGAAAGAAACAGTCATGTAGGCAAAGCAGCTTCCGCTTCTTCCCCACGTCCTACTTACCCAGAGGTCTCCATCAGGGCTGTGGAAGGCAAGGTTTCCTGCCAGCATTTTCTTGCCAACCCTGAGAGCGTCGCCCTCCCCTCTGAAGTGCCCTTCCCCCCCCCCAAAGTGAGGCGGCATCTCCTACCTCATCCACATCACTGACCCACTTCATGATGTGCTGGTAAGAGCGTTCGCTGCTAATGTCGTAGACTAAAAATATTCCCTGAGAGAGAGCAGAGAGAGAGGGGGGGAGGCAGATGCACACGGAGCTTGTGCAGTCACAGGCCAGAGCAGGGTGGCGCCTCAAATGCTGGGTGTCACTCTCCCTTCTCCCTGCTTAGCCTAAAGAGGATCCCTCAGCACCCAGAAATGTCTCCTCTCAGACCCCCAAGAATGCTGCTCCCTAGCCTATCCAGAGCTCTCTGAAGTAGGAAGGCACCAAATGCTTTGATCTGGATCTTCAGCCCTGGCTGAAGGGGGGCCTGAGGACCTGCCTGGAGTGAGTGATCAGAGAATAACAGATGATCAGTGAGCAACTAAAAGGTCCCCACTGGGGCTCCCTCCCCCAGCAGGCAATCTGAGAGCCCTATTTTGGGGGTCAGTGGAACAGATATTTCAAACACACAGTACACGTGGAGTGTCGATGGCAATGCCCCCTCCTGACGGCGGCTCACCTGGGCCCGTCGGTAGTACTGCTTTGTGATGGTCTGATATCTCTCTTGCCCCGCTGTGTCCCTGTGAAGAAAGTCAGTCCCTCAGGAGAGCAGGGACTCCGGGGACAGGTGCGCAAGGAAGAGCAGGAGCTGGGAGACTGTGCCCTTACAAGAAAAACTGGGGAGCTCAGTGAGGCTTTGATCCTCTAGAGGATCGGAACATGTCTGACTCTGTAGGAGAGAGGCCTCTGTAGAGATGGGGAGAGGGGGGCGGGCCTTGTCAACTGTGTCTGCATCAGGAACCATACCTGTGACTGGGCCTTCAACAGTGCTCTAGAATTTGGCCATTATGGCCAGATTGGCAGGACTGCTACAGCCCAGGTTGGTCTGGGACCTGTGAAGGCCCTGCCCAGACCATTCTGACACTGGTAGGCAGCTCCAAATGCTGGCTGATGCAGAGCATCCCGGAGCTTCAGGCCAGAGAGCCATAGCACCCCCCTGTGGCTGCCTGTGGAAACTGCACTAGGTTATAAGGAATTCTCAGGAGGGTTCCACCCAAATTGATGGGGTGCTACAGCCCTCCTGCCTTCCAATCCTGTAGCAGTGTGGGTAAAGCCTTTTTCTAAGACAGCCTAGGGAAAAGCCTTTTTCTAAGACAAGCACAGCGGGTAGTTGCCAACTCCTTCGAATTCCTGCCTTTTGGTGACTTGCCATCAATCCCATAAAGTTTCTTAAGAAAGAGATGGGAGATTAAGACTCAGAGGAACAGGTGATGGGTTTTGAGACTTCCACTCTCCATCTGGGAGGTGACCAATTATCTTAGAAGCTTTGGGATTTTACACATGGTTGTGGCAGCTAAGGGGCAGCCCAGGGTCCTCCCCTCCTATCCAACTTACCAAATCTGTATCCGCACTTTGATGCCGTCCACCTCTATGGTCTTCATCTTGAAGTCAACACCTGGAGAAAGGAGGGAGGCAAGCGAGTCAGGAAGGATCCCTGAGAAGTGAAAGGCCCCAGCACTCACACTAGAGGGGATTTCGTTTTGATTTAATGTGGTAGAAAGATGGTATGAGGTAAGGGTCTTCTTGAACCAAAAACTGATCCTAAGGAAGTATGGGGGCTTTGAATGGGGCTTCCTTCTTCCTTGAGCTGAGAGTTGACAGAAGTGAAGGGCCTGAGGGACACAGGAGAGACAAAACAAATATGGGGAAATCTACTCCCTCACTGCCTCCCTCAGCCCCAGAAGTATCTTTCTTCACATGTGATATTTCCTATTTATACTTCCAGAGAGAGCAACCTGTATTTACCCCCTACTAGAATGCTAGGCCTTAGGAATACTGATCTACTTTATTTGTCTGGATTTTTCTCTCTGCTTTATTAATAACCTGGAGGGATCACATGACTGTGGGGATGGGCCGGGCCTGGAGAGAGAAGGACTATTTCAGTCTCCTGCTGTGTATGAAGGCCTCAGGCCCTAGCCAAGGCCCTTCGAGAAGACCCAGAGGAGCTGCTGTTGACTAGCCCCTGTTGGCCATACGAGGCATTTACTGGAAGGAGCATGGGCCTTGGAATCAGGCCTGAGCTTGAATCCTGACTCTGGCCATGTCCTTCACTCAGAGCTCTGACTTCGGACACCCTGCTTCTCTGAACCTCCATTTCTGCATCAGTAAAACTGAGAAATTGTCAGTCATCTCAGAGGGTCGCTGAGACCAAATGAGATATGGGGCAGGGGCACCATGAACGGTTCCCAGCGGGTGCTGGTGAGTGACTGTCTATGACCCGATGAGCCTACCACTGTGGAAGGGAGATGAAGACAGGCTCATCGGCCCAATGGCTTGAGAATGAAGATGCCACAAGACACAGGAAACGTCAGGGCCTGAGTAAAGCAGCCCAGAGCAGAAACCTACTTGGAGAAATCTCAGGAAGAGAAGCCAGGACACAGGTTTGCCTCTGAGTGATGATGGAAAGACCAGGGGAGATGTTTTTAAGCTTGTGCCTTTCCCCAGCCCTAACTGTGCTCGGGCACGAAGCCCAGTGGTTCAAGAGTTGTGTCTAGTAGGTTAATTAAGCTTCAGTCTTCATGAACTCCCTAGAGACAAGTCAGGAAGGGGCAACGGTAGCCAGTTTTTAGGTGGGGAATATTGTAAAGACAGAGTGCTGGACCGAAGTCTCCAGGCTGCAGAGCACAGCCCTGAAGCCCCTAAAGGTGCCAGAAACCCCAATCCCAGTGTCACTGTCATTCCCCGTGGGCATGACTTCTTTGCCAATGGGGATTCTTCTCCCCGATCCCTTCTGTCCCCAGCTTTTCACACTTACAGACAGATTAAATTCAGTCTCTTCTCTCTCATCAGAGACCAATCACCATTTAATTAGAAGGGAGAGCAAGACTTAGCATGGACAACCTGAACAAAATCAAGTTGGTTGGACGTGAATCATTTTCGCCTGCCCAAGCTGATTCATATCTATTGAGCTGTACTTTTCCAAATGGGCATTGTCTGGCAGCCACTCTTCCAAGTGTGCTGAGAAAGTGAAGAGGAGGGTGAAAGAAGGGGGGGCACCCACAGTGTTTCGGGGTAGGGGACAGATTCGTGTTCACCTCCTCCCTAGACAAACAGTCGTCAAGAATTTGCTTCTCCTTAATATCTGGCATAGAAGATAATCAGGATTTCTCATTCTTAAATGTCATGGTACCTTCTTTCCCAGGGGAGCAGGAATGTTGTTCATTTGATAATAAGCCTAGTCATTCTAGCCCAGCAAGCCTAGTGAAGGGCAGTGCTGTGTGCAAAGTGATCACGAGGGTGGAGAAGGGGATAGAAGGTTCTATTTGCTTTATTCCACATCCATCAATGGGGATTTATTCTGTGCCCTGCACAGCACGCGGTGCAGAGAGTGGCAAAGAAAGGCATATGGTCCCTGATCTTACAGAGCTTAGTGGAAGGAAGCAAAGACTCAGAGAGTCAGCCCAAGGTCAGCACAGCAAGTAGCAGACTCACAGCCTGTTGGATGCCGGAGCCCGTGCTATGCCCTGTACTGTTTCTGGGAGGAGGGGAGAGAGTTGTGTGTTAACCAGGCATAGGAGTCTTCACTATATTACTCAGCTTGGGGGGAGCTCCCCAAACTAGGGACATCTCCCCAAGAATGAATGCAGGTTGCTAGAAGAGGCAGAATTGACAAGACATGCAACTACCCTGGGAGCTAGGGCTGAACTGAGTCTTTCTCCCTCTCTCCTCACTTAGCTGTGTGGCGAGAGACCAGGGCTGGGGAATTCTGGAGGCTCACAACACCCTCCACTCCAACATCGTGCAATCTAGACCCTATAAGCCACTGGGTAAAACGTGTTATAACATCTCTGAGAAGTGAAAAATGCCTTCTGGGGGATTTTCCTCTTCTACCCATCTACCCCCTTTTTTTACAGAGAGAAAAGATTAACAGCCCAAAGAGCTGGTGAAATCTGTTAACTTCTACTTTCTACTTCCACACACCCCCGGATCTTCCACGTTGTCCACCTACTGACCACGGCTGCACCCTGTGCCCCGAGCAGCAGCCCCTTCCCTCCACAGCTGTTGGCCTTTTCCTGGGCCAGCACTACAGGGCAAAGTCAAAGCTGGCTTTGGCCCGTCCCCTGCAGACTCCTGCTTTCTCACCTCAGCTGTGCCCTCCCAGCTGCTCAGCAAACTGTTCTTTGCATGCATGCTCCTCTGCCCCAGTCCTCAAGGCACTGTGCTCCCCTGCCCACTGTTGCACATTCAAAGAACACCTTCTGGCTGACAAATGGGCAACAGAGCAGCCTGCTGGGGCGTTCCCAGCTCACTTTCTTAGCATTCCCTCGCCACTTTCCCTGCAGATGGTTGTCTGTCCTTCCCCAGCCCCACTGCTCAGCTGTTGTTCAGTCCCCTCTGAGTGCACCTCCTAAGCTTTGCCTGTTGCACCTTCAGAATCTACAGGAAGAAGAGTCTTCCATCTACTTCCACCCCCAGTGTTTTCTCATTGCAGCTCCTCCAACTTTAAGGGCACAGCGAATCACAGAGGGATTATGTTAAAATGCAGATTCTGACTGAGTAGGTGTGAGATGAGGTCTGAGATGCTATGTTAAACCTTCAGGTGACGCTGATGCTACTGGCCCCCAGATCACACGTGACAGAGAACTTCCAGAGCAGTGGTTCTCAAAGTGTGGTCCCAGACTTGCAGCAGCAGCTGGGACTTACTAGGAACACAAATCTTTGGGCCTCCCTCAGATCTACGGAATCAGAAACTTGGGGGGTGGGGCCCAGGATTGTCTCAACAAGCTCTCCAGGGGACCCTGATGCATGCTGACGTTTGAGAATTACATTTGGACTAAAGCTTTGGCACCTGATGCGCCAGGCGAGGCAAGTGAGTTCTCCCTTTCTCAAGGTGTTTTGCAGACGCTCAGCTTTGAAATCACCTAGAGTGGTTTTTTTAAAAATGCTGCTACCCTGACTTATCCAGACCTACTGAGTTAGAATTTGAGACCCAGGCCCAGAAACCTGTATTTATAACAGGTCTGTGGTGATTTTTAGATAAAGTTTGAGAGCTATGTTATAGTGCAACAAACACCCGTTGGCTCTGGTGTCTAAAGAAAGACCTGGGTCTAAATCCTGATCCTGGCACTTGCTGTCTAATGTTGGGCAAGTTTTGACTCTTCTGTGCCTCAGATTTTTTTATCTGTTGAATGAGAAAAGCAACAGCTGCCTAGGCATTGTGGTGGGTAGGAATTAGACCAGTATGGAAAGCACCTGGCACACAGTAGGCACCAGCTCCCTCACTCCTACCTTCACTCTGATGAATAAAGACTTTCTGGGATGGCGCCAAGAACCCTAGATGTAGCAAGGATTACTAAGTTTCCTCTCCTCCCTTTTAGTCCAGGGACCAGCAGCATCAACACCATTAGGGTGCTTATTGGAAATGCAAATTCCCTAGCTCCACCCAGACCTGCTAAATCCTAGGCACAATAAAGCTTGAAACTATCACCTAGCCCATCTCGAGGCAGAAGTATATACCTAAGGCTCAAAATAATCGTTATAATTACAGCACAGCCCTGAGGGGGGGAATCCAGAGCCCTCTGTTCTTGTGCCAGCCAGGAGGTAGGCAGGAGCTGGGATTATGATCGTGAAGCACAGAGAGGCCAAGTGACTTACTCATGTTTCCACATCCTCTGGCTGAGCCAGACGGGAAAACTGTCTCCTAAAACCTACCCCAGATGCTCTTCCTTCAACCAATGGCTTTTCAATCTCGTGGGATTTCAGAATCTTAACTGCCTTTTCTGTCATGCCTGGGGTACCCCACATCTGTTCTGGTATTGGGAGGTGTTTAGAGGTGAGACATTGGGTTCACATGATGCAAGCCCACCAGAACTACTGCAGGACAATGGAGACAATTCCTGATTCCATCAAGCCCATGCATCACCCTGGAGATTGCCCCCTCAGCCTCCCTGCATGAGAAGCTACTGACTTTCCCGAGCACAGCGAACACTCAGTGTGAAGAAATAAGCCAAGCACCTCCACACTGCTTCAGCAGAGGTTCTTGGAGACCCGGAGCTCATGAGGGAGAAAGTCAGCAAGATGGAGCCTTCTCCCAAGTACTTGAGTATGACAAGCAGCTCATCGTTTGTTCCCAGCACCACAGAGAAATGGATCACAGTGTCTGCCACACCCCATGTCCTTCCCCTCCCCCCAACTCCCCGTGTCCTTTTCTGGCTGGAAATGCCCAGCCCAAAGCCTCTGCTCAGGGAAGCAGTGCTGGGAGCAGCGTGGCTATTGTGGAGAAGCAGCTCCTGACTGGACCAGGAGTAGACATCTAACCCAGAGGAGGCCCATCAGTGGGCTTGCTGGTGACCCATAGGCAAACTGGTCAAGAGGCAAGGAAAGCTATCTGAGCCCATCAAACCAGTTCCCTCCAGATGGTGCAGAGGAGCATGAGGCAGAGAGATGTGTCAAGAAGCAGAGACACATAAAGATAGTGAATACACTGGCTGAAGTGGGGGTTGGGGGCCCCAGATTCTAGCCACCAGCCTGCCTTCTAGTCCCTGAGCTTCCTTAGAGCACTTCCCCCACTTGCACTTCAGGAATGCCTGAAGAGTCTAGCCTGAGCCTGTCCACTCGCTGAATGGCCCCCCCAGGTTGGCGGGCAAGACTCTTCAACTACGGGGCTGGGGTCAGCCCAGCTCTTTGATGCCTCCTAGTTTTTTTCTGCCAGCCCCAGTTACAGGTAAAATACTTAAGGGGCAGAGAATATATTTTGTATTTGACAACTTTTTTTGTTTTTAAGGTCTCTGCCTCCTGGCACAGTGCCAGGGAGGAAGTAGCAATTCCATTAGTGGCAGCCTCCTGCCCCCAGGAGGGTAAGGAGGGATGGGTGCCGTGGTTCAGGAGCAGGAACACGTATGTGTCCAATCGTCTGAACGCTTCACAGGCATTGGCGCCACCCGAGCCTCGGTTGAGTGACTGTGCTGGGTCTTGCCACATGGGGGACAATGCCGCCCTCACCCTGCTGGTGGCCTTGGGAGGCCTCTGGCTGCCCTGTTCTGGCTATGTAGCCTCTGCTTGTCCAGCAGGAACCCCACTGGCTTCCAGGCCACAATGGGCCTGCTGTGCCTGGCACACAATGACCATGTCAGAGTACTGGGAGTATAGGTCAGGCCCTCCTCTGGGGACCTGGGCTGGGCCAGCCAGAAGGACAGGGCAGGGGAGACAGTGCTGGCACTCACTTGGCTCCTAAAATCTCTGATCTTGGGCACTAAAACAGGGCAAGGTTATCATCACCCTTATCTAGCAGCAGAGGGGCTGTGAAGTCTGTGGATAGAAGGAAACAGACCACATCCAGGGGAAAGGACACCCGACGAAAACCCTGGAATTCTGGAGGAAGTGCAGCTCGAGGAACAGAGGCATGGCCATTAAGAACACAGTGTACGGCCAGAGGTTGGTTCCACTTCCGCCTTTACCATAATCACCTGTGTGTTCTTGGAAGCTACTTAACCTCTCTTTGCTTCAGCTTCCTCACCTGTAAGCTGGGGATGACTACCCCTATGTCAGAGAAATTTTGTGAGTATTATGAGATAAGGTATAAAACCCGTAACACAGAGCCTGGCACATAGCACTTTATTAAGTGTTAACTTCTTTATTAAGAAGTTGTCACTCAAAAAAAAAAAAACAAAAAAAAGAAGTTGTCGCTCTCCTTTGTGGGGGGATGAGATTAAGGAACTGAAGGTGATAGTGTGGGGAATGGAAAGAGCTCTGGGAAGCAGGAGGGGCTCATGTTGGAAAGAGGAAGGAGAGAGGGGTGAGGGGTGAGCAGAGCCAGGACTCCACTGGAGCCTTTCAACGAAAAGAAAATGCGCACCCACCCACCACCATGCAGCCCAGATGGCCTCCCATGCTGCACTACAACCTGAATTCTGGCGAATAGAGGGTGTGCCTATGGCAGGAGCAGCACCTCATAGGTTAAGTCGGGTACTCGCTTGTCTGCCTGCCAAGTGCCACATGCTTCAAGTGGAAACAGGATTTTTGCGGGCGCCAAATGTTATCATCATGATCAACCATCACCCCAAGGCCCAGCAGCGCCACCCGAGCCTTTTCATTAGCAATGAGACGCCACGACAAAGAACAACTCAATCCACCTGAAACTCAAGGCAGACACCCAATACCTGGGGTCACACTGGCTCCAGTTACCAGGCCCAGGTTCCAGGGAGCCCCTGGGCCCACCCCCACAGGGAACTAGCCTGTGTCACACATGGGGAGCTTGTGGGGGTTGTGGCAGGTGGTCATCTCCGAAGAGGTCACCCTGAGCAACCCGAAAAGAAGCTTTAGAAGAAGCAGACCTTTTGGGGAGGTAGCTGCCTGTGCCCTGCCCCGCCCAGAACAAGGCATCACAGTAACCCCCATTTCAAAAACCCCTTCTCCCAGCAAAACATTATTCAGGAGAATTAACTAATGCCTTTTCTCACCAACAGAGTCAAGTGAGGGGGAGACTAGGAGAATGATACAGAGGGAGAACAAGTGACAGAGCTCAAGAGAAGGCTGAAGTCAGAGGCTCCAGGCGCACAAATGTCCCTCTGCCAATGAGGTGAGGGGACGGGAGAGAGGCCTTTGCCCTAAGCCTGCCACTTGCTGCATCCCTCTTCCTTCTTTCCATCTCGGGACTCTCGGGCCCACTGGCCTTGGACCACATGCCACCGGCTTCTCTTCTCACCAGCTGCAGGCTGTCCCTCGTGCTGGCCTCACCCAGGGGCAGGGTGCGCCGGGGCTCTCTGAGCTAATGCACCAGTCCGCATGCGCACAGCTCACTCTGGAGTGACAGAGCAGGGATAAAGAGGCAGCCCTGGTGTTGGCAGACAGAATCCTGACCCTCTAACTCCAAAGCCATATTTTAACATAGAGGGCAGTTAGGTCAAAAACACTGATTCAGATGCCCACTCAAAAGAGAGACTGATGATTTCAGAATCATACTCTAGCCCACCTTTTTTTTAGATACAGACGCATGCGCACACACCATACTAGCACAGAAGGAGAGTAACATGCAGGGTCCAGGGCAGCTCTGGAGGCTAAGCCTGCCACTTGCTGCATCCCTCTTCCTTCCTTCATTCTAGGGACTCTCGGGCCCATGACCATGTGAAATGTTGAAGGGTCATCTTTGACCCAGGCACACAAGGGCTGTTTGCATGTAGGTGGGTTTCCCAATTAAATAACAACGCCTGTGAGGCTGGGAACCATAAGGCTGCGAACCCCAGGGTCTGAGCCCTAGGCTCTCCCTACTCAAGAGCATGAGGTGGTCTCCAGAGGTCACTAAAGCAGCCTGGCTGGCTGATGAGGGTCATCTGACACCTGCGGTGACCCTGAGCAATAGACAATGCTAACAGGCTAAGACGCTGACCCCTCGTCTCTGCATTTGCCAATGAGGACCTTACGCAGGGATCACACTCCCTTCGACATCTGGGCTTCTGTCACGTGCATCTGAGCAGACCCGCAAACTACTGGAAACTGTTCACCCCGGCAGGGCTCTGCTCCCTTTACACAGCCCCAAGCATGTGTCTACAAGGTGAGTTTCTCATTATCTTATGTGTCCCAAGAAACCACTACATGTGACTTCCCTCAGAGAAGAGTGAAAGTCCTCTAGGAGAATAAATGCATGCATGCATCCAAGCCAACAATTACCAAGTGCCTACTATGTGCCAGGAACTAGAAGCCACAATGTGAATAGCAGAGAAATCCTTGCCTTCAGAGACTGTCAGTTCTAGAGGGAAGAGAGAGAATAAGTACTAATCATTTCAGAGAGTAGTAAGTGTTACAAGGCAAAAGCAGAAGAACAGAGGAGAGAGTGAGGGAATCTGTGTGCAAGCTGCTTTAGCTAGGCTGATCAGAGAAGACCTTTTAAAGGAGGTGACATTTGAGCTGAGACCTGAAGGACAAGAAGGTACCAACAGAGCAGGGTGAAGATCTGAAAAATTATGGCCCCCAGCAGGGGAACAGCAAGTAACCCTCAGGCAGGAAGACATTTCAGTACAATTTGCAGTTCCTCTGAAGGGGGAAAGGAGAGGGACCAACATTATTCCCACCTTCATTAAAAAAGGCGGAAAGCACAGTTACTCAGGAAACATCAGTCCCCTTTCCACTGCCACGTGCAGAGACCTCCACAGGTGCTACTGTGCCTGCTAACCCTGTCCCACTCCCCACTGGCAGGCCCCTACCTGGCCTCACCTCCCTGAGCCTGCTCAGTGGGCACTGACCCCTCATTCCTCTGCCCGCCTCCTCAGCCTCTTCCCAGTCAAGGCCATGTTGACAGATCAGAAGTTTCCAGGAGGAAGAGACTGGGCTGGGAGCCTCAGGAGCAAACATGTTGGGGAGGTGGGAGAGACCCAGTTTCCAGATGCATCTGTCTTTACATAGCCCACAAAAACAAACTCCTACAAGGATCGGATTGACTCAAATTGGTAAGACCATAACCAGGCCACTATCAACTGACCCTGCCAGGGAGAAGAGTGACAGACCCCAAACCTGGAGGTGTTTTCTATAGCACCTCCTTCCCCATCTCTCCTCCCCTGGGGGCCCTATTTAGTCCTCAAGGCCCAGTCAAATGTAACTTCCTTAGTGAAGCCTTCACCAACCTCCCCAGAGGGAATGTGTCACTCCTCTGTGATCCCAAAGTTTTCTGAGATGGCTTTTGCATGATATTCTGATGGCCTGTTTGGATGTCTGCCTCCCCTACTGCCCCCGAGCCTCCCAGAGGGCAAAACACCACCTTATTCATTTCATAGTCTCATCACCTGGCAAAGGTACTCATTACATGTAATATCATTAAACAAAATTGAATAAATGAATGAAAAAATGAATGTGTATGTCAGTGAATAAATGAATGAATGAATGAAGTCAGAACATTCCAGGAAAAAAGATAAATGGAGAGAAAATTTTCATCAGGAACAAGCGATCAGGGCATAATCCACATTTCAAAAGCAACTGTCTGCCCTCTGTCTGCCCTTTGTATAGATCAGAGTCCAGTCAGAGTTCTCAGGAAATATTATCAAAATAGTAAGATAAGAACAACACTCAGATGTCCTCAAAGGTCCCTAGACTCCTCCATTCTAGCCTGACTCTCCCCCAGAGGGCTGTGTCACAGGGCAGACTGGGCCAGCAGCAGTGGCTCGGCCATCTCTCTATCCCAGAGTCCTCAGATGGGCAGGGGAGGCGCCTGTCCTCTCCCTGTGCCCACAGGAGACAGGTCCTACTTGGCAATCTGTGGAAGGTTCTTCTGTGATGAGCAGAGGCACACAGGAGACGCGGAGAGAGGACAGTTCTAGCTTGGGCCACCCATAGGGGCCTCAGTGTCCCCCATTTATGACACAGGGTGGTGATAAGCCCTTTCCTCCTCCGAGGAAGGTGTTCTGTGGCCCCCTGGACGAAGTACACTGCCCAGACAGGAGAGCCAAGGAAAGGCCAGAAGCCTATGCAGAAAACTGGCAGTATTACAGACAAACAGGCGCAAATATTGGATTACAGAAGAAGGAAGTCTGAGAGGAGCTGACAATCAGGGCAGAAGGGTAATGGCCAAATATCAACTTTCATGTTATAAAGCTCATCACCAAGCTGTCTGGGGGGCAGGGAGCAGGGAGGGAAAAGGAGGTGCAGAAACCAGGGTGCGCAACGCCGTGGGTAAATCTGCAGAGCTGTGAAGGGGGCACAGGTGCACTCAGCAGCCAAATGAAAGCCTCAGAGTCCATTCTTGGGGATCCCGTCTTTGGGGAGGGCTGGGCAGGCTGGAGCCTGAGGCAGTCCCCACCCTGCCCAGTCCTTTTGGTCATCTCTCTCCTCACTCCCTTGCCTCTTCACCAGAGGACTCTTCCTTCTCAGGCCCTGGCACTACCAGAGTGAGGGGGGAGCTGGCACAGAAGCTGAAATGAAGCCAGAGCCCGTGCCCGATTCCTGACTGTTTTGTTCACTGCCGTATCCCCAGCTCCTCCACAGCACCTGGCACGGAGTGGGTGTTCAGTAAATAGCGCGTGGATGACTGTATGAGTGATGGGCAGGATGACCTCAAAGCACATTAATGACAATTTATTAATCTCCACAACTTTCTTAAGAGCTGGGAATAATAACGATGATAGTGGCAACCATTTTATTGAGGATTCTGCCAAGTGCTTTGTATCCATTAGCCTCCGTATGCTTCACAACGACCTTTAAGAAAGATTCTGTTACTATTTTCCATTTACAGATACAGAAACTAAGAGCAGAGATATCAACTAAGTGTCTGAAGATGGAGGAGCCAGAGAGGCCTGGGAGACTCTCATGCATGCTTTGCTTTCCATTCTACTAGGGGTTCTCCCTTCCTTTCCTGCACAGGGCGGGAAGAGACTCCTCAGGCTGCCAGTGGGCTTGAGGGAAGCAAAGGCCTCCCAGTACAGTGGGTTACTCAGACTCGGCTCAGACCCGCCCTCAATGGACTATAGCGCCTTACAGTCTGGGAGGCAAGATCTTACAGCCAAAGGGCTGGCCCTGTGCTCCTCCAGGCTCAAATCTCTCCCTGGCCCTACCCTCCTAGCTCCCTCTCCTTCACCCACAAACCCTGGCCCCAGGCAGCCAGAGCCAGTTCAAACAGAACTTCCTCAGAAAGGTGATACACAGCATCAAACCCAGCTTGAGAAAGGACCCAGCAGCAGTTCAACCAGTCAAACCAGATAGTCACAGGCTACAGCCTCCTCCAAACCTGAAGGAGCTTTCCAAAGCTGAAAGACAGGCCTTTAAAGCAAAAGGAGGCAGGTCTCTTCAGGAGGACAAGGATGGGAGGGAGAAAACCGACTGGTGGGCAGTCCCCCAGCTTGCATTAGGAGCCTTCATGCCGCTCCCGGCCACACACAGAGGCCCCCTGCACACAGATGCACATGTAGGGGAGGACATGGTTCCCAGGCTGGACAGGCAGCCAGGTCACAGGAGGCCCTTTCAGAAGTTGCCACGTTGATTGGTTTGAAGCGTTGCCCAGAACAGGTGACCATGTGGCATTTGGCACTGGTGTTGCAAGAGGGGGTGGGAAGTAGAAAACAGAGAAGGAACAACTGAGAGGTTCCAGATCCTGCCACAGCCTTTGACTTGGTCTCCCTGCTTCCAGCCTTAACCCCCTCACCCAGCCAACAACCTGGAGCACCATCATCAACATGTCATTCCCCTGCTCAGAAACCAGGGTGAAGGCTCAAGTCCCACCTCCTCAGCCAGGCCCTCACCGCCTCTGGCAATTGGGCCCGACATCCATCCATTCACTTTAAGCATAGATGGAGATGGTGCCTGGCCCTGTACCAGCGATAGGAAAACAAAGAAGAATAGATATAGTCTCATCTTCAAGACACTAAAGCATAGTTTGGGAGACAGAGATTAAACAGAGGAATGTTCTCACTCTTCCTCTAAACCCCCTTCTGTTCCAGTCAGACTGCCCAGAGTCCCATGAACACCCACTGAATTCCCACCTCGGTGGTGTCTGCTCCTGCTACTCCATCTGCTCCTTTCCCAACAGGAACTGAGAAACAGCCCACACCGGAAGGCCTGACTTCAGCCTCCCCGCCTCCCAAAGCCTTCCCTGCCGCTTCTAGTGCACCAGGCCCCCCTATATCATTTAGCTTCTGACAGGACTGTAAGACATTTGGGAATAGTAACAAAAGCGATTACAATTGATCCCCCACATTTGGACAGTGTTTTCCCAAGTGCATTCTGTACAATCTTGGTGTGGCCAGAGCGTATCTTTGCCTCTCTGTGTCTTGACTCCCCAACTAGATTACAGGGGTCTATGAGCAGGAAAAGGTGCAATACATTTCTAAAATGCCAGCCACAGCACTTTGTCGCAAATGCTAGTTAACAAGTCAGGAAAGAGCAGAGTATGAAGGCGCTGACTGCCCACCTCTCACCACCGCCCCCATCCCAGTCTGCACAGCTGCGTAGGGAAGGAATGTCCAGGGCACAGATCCAGCTCAGCACCTGCCCACCTGCCACCCACAGAGAAGTGGTGGGGTCAGTGTGTCAGCCTACCTGGGAGGTCTCACTGCCCCCTGGCAGGCCCTTCTCTGGAATGTCACAAGCTCTCGTACTAAGTGGAATAAACAGTAAATCACAAAAAGTGCCGGCCCAGGTGATATCAGCATGAACCAAGAATCTGAACTCTGTTTTGGCAGTAACTGGTGAATTGCCTTATTTTCCCCATTCACAAAAGCTGCTCTGGGAAGGGTGCCTGGATCTCTGGCAAGCATGGCAAAAGGATGTGTCTTAGACAAGGCACGGCACGAGAGAGGTGACCACTGTATTCATCTTGGACTCTGCAGGTCTCAGCACAGCCCAGTTAAGGCCACACGCACTTGTGAATGAATATGACTTAGTAGGGCCTGGTTCTTGGCTCCCTGATTTGACTCCTGGATGCCCCTTCCATCTCCATGTCCTCTGGGTCCTGGAAAAGGTAGACCAGATCGCAAAGCAGAGAAAGAACTCTGAGATTCATCTTCAGGCTGGAGTACACTAGACCAAGGGCCCTGACGGGAGTGGAGCTGAAGGGTGCCAGGGCTGTCTACCCAAGTCAGAGTCCCTGTTATCTGAAAAATGCAGATTCATGTATTTTGCAAGGAAAAGGTGTCAAAGGTGGGAGAAGACTGGTAGAAACGAGCCTAATGAGAAGGGCTGGTGATTAAGTCCTGTGTGGCCAGGGGCTTAAGGAAAGCAGAAGCCCCAGAAGGGCCAACTTGGTATTTTAGAAATGGAGGTCTCTCTTTTGTCTACAGAGAAGGGGATCAAATGTCTCCTAGGGAAGGCTAACTTTCCCTACAATGCTGAGCAGGAGTTCTAAGAGCTTCTGAAATCAGGTGGATGAGGAAAGCTGTCAAGGGAAAAGCTCAGGTGATCCCAGTACTTGAAATATGGCCAGGACACTAGGGTACAAACCCCTCTACCTACAGTTCTCTGCAGATAGCTCAGCAGTTTCTGGTACCAGGGCTATCCCCAAAACAACCACTGTAACTTTCCTTAATGTCAATTGGCTCCCCTTTGTCCCCAAGCTCCTCGCAACTTGATCTCCTACCCCATCTGGCCACTCAGCTACTCCCCAGGCCTTGCTCCCAGGCCTTGCCCCAATGTTGGCTCCTCCCTGAGCCACTGCATCCTGCCCTCCATTGGCTGAACTTGGGTCCCAAGTTCTCTTTAAGATGTCTCTCATCCAAACAGCAGCCCAGCCCAAGCTCCTGGCTCTCCTAGAAGCCTGCCTTACAGTTCCCCTGAGAAAGATGAAGCCATGTTCTCTGACCCCAAGCCCCTTGAAGCCAGCAAAGCATAGAGAGAAAGAGACTCAGGGATGATGCTAACAGTACAAGAAGCAGCATTTTTGTGGCTTCACCAAGTGTCTGACTTTGTGCTACCTGCTTTCACAAACAATATCTCATGCAATCCTTACAACAGCTTGGGAGGTAGGTAGTTATTAGCCCCATTCTACAGAGGAAAAAGTACTCAAGGTCACATTGCCCCCAAAGGAGGTCTCCCTCCAAGTGAGGTCAATATGTGTAACAACAGACTGCCTCTGAAACCAGATGCTCTTGGCTCCTGCTGGCTCTACCTGCTCCTTCTCTCTTGGCAAGAAGTGTGTGTTGGGAGGACCAGTGGAAGGCTCAAGAGGAAGATGAATGCTGGGGCCCTACCCCATGGGAGGGGGATGTGGGCAGTGCAGGGACTACTCCAGGGCATCAAAGGGGGAAATTGTTAGCTATGGATGCAATTCCCTCAACTCAGACCTCCCAGAGGAGGAGGCTCCTCAGGAAGAGACCCTCTCAGAGATGAGGCCACCTACCCTCCCCCAGAATAAGTGATCCCATCACAGGCCTGTCTGGCACAGGGTCCAGCATCACCAGATAGGAGAGATGTCTAGGGGGGCCCTGCCTGCCTTCTGCCCCTACGATGTGGACAAGGAGTCCTCAAGTTCCTCTTCCTCCTGAGTCTCCTTCAAAACAAGGGCTTCAGCTGACTGCTTTCCTGCAGCTGGCCAGTGAGTGTCCCTCTCACCAGTCCCCCCACCTCTCACCTGTCTCTGCCCCCCTCCAGGTGTCCTGCCTGGAGGCTTACCTTGGCAACTGTGCAGGGAAACTCCATCCCTCTGCGGCCTCCCTTCCTCCACTCTTCCCTCTCCTGACTCCACCTTGGGTCACCCCTAAACTGAGGCTACCCAGGGACCTAGTGCCTGGGCTCCTCACCCTCCGCCCCTCTTCCCGAGCCCAAGCTTTACTTCCCCTCCCCCTCTCCTTTTGGGGGTGTGAGGATGTCATTTCAGTGGCTACGATTCTCGCTGCCCCAGCTCGGGGTACCCAGGCCTGCACCCGCCCGCATTCCTCCAGGTTTCCATGGGGAGGCTCCCTGGCGCGAGGCCGGACAGCCTACCCCTAGCCGCCTCCAGCAGCGGGGACCCTCACCTCCAGGAGCCCAGCTCAAGTCTCCAGCCGGCGGCCCCCCACCCCAGGAATTGTCCCCTCGCCCTGGCCTCCGCGCCGACGCCTCCAGACCGAGGGGCGGCCAGTTCCCCGCGGGCTGGGAAGGGGCGGGGGTCGCCCGGGCGGGGGTCGCCCGGCAGGTGGCGGCGGGCGGGGAGAGAGGGGCGCCCTGCAGGCCACCGCCCCTTACCGATGGTGGAGATGTGCGAGGAGTGGAACTCGTTGTCGGTGAAGCGGCACAGCAGGCAGGTCTTGCCCACCCCGGAGTCCCCGATCAGCAGCAGCCGGAACAGCACGTCGTACTGCTTCGCCATGGCTGGGGCCGCGGGCGGCGGGGGCTGCGGGCGGGCGGCGCGCTCAGCCCCGCTCAGCCCCGCTCGGCCGCTGCCATCGCGGCGCGCGCCAGCCCCGGACGCCGCCGGCGCGAGAAGGAAGCGCGCGGCCCCCGCGCCGGCCTCGCCCGCTCGCCGGGAGCCGCGAAGCGCCGCGCGGCGGGAGCGCGGGTGGGAGGAGAGAGCCGCGGCCCCTGCCCGCCCCTTCGCCCGCGCCGCCGCCGCCCGCCCCGGAGAGGGGGCGGGAGCGCGCGCCGGGGAGCGGCGACCCCGCAGCGGGGCGAGCCCAGCGCGCGCTCTGCGCCCGCGGGGCGCGCCGCCCCCAGCCCCCAGCCCCCTCCCCACGCCCCTTTGTGCCAGACCCGGGACCCCGGGGGAAATGTTTTTTGGTTTTCTGAAGACATGCTGAATGGGGGAGTTGGGGGGAGCGCCCACCAGCCCCCCTCTACCAAACTCGGCTTGCGGGTCTCGGCACTTCTTCCTCAATCCCATCCCAAAGCTGTTCCCTGAACTCTGCCCCATCCCATCCCGCCGCCGGCCGCTGCTGCAGGTGGTCTGGCCTCCAGGTGATGGATGGGTCCTCACCTGGGCTCACCCCAGGTCAGAAGGCCTTGATCTCAGGGTCTGAATTCAAATCCCGTCTGCTCTTGAAGTCCCTGTCTCGGGGAGCACTTAGGGTGTTGCTAGAACCCTCCCTTCCTGCCGCCTGGCTGCTCAGTAACCCTGTGTGAGTGTGTCCACGACTCTCCCCCGCCCCTGCCCCCCGCCCCCCCCCCCGCCTGCCAGCCCAGCTTTTCTTTATTTTCTTCCCCCAGTTTTTCTTTAAAGAGGGCAACTATCTGCAGGCCGCCGGTGAAAAGATGATGTAAAAACATCTCACATGCAAATCCTTTTGGAAGTGTTGTGCAGGCGGAAGTCCATTTGGTAGAGGCTCAGGTTGATGATGCATTATTTCACATTCACAGGCAGGCAACCCGTTTTATTTTATATCGGGGTTGCCCTATAACAACATCACTAAGTATTTCTGCTGCGGGGTACACCAATGGTGTCAAGGAACGAATGGGTGCCTTTCTAGACCTAATTTACTACCACTGAATGTGTCCACCCCAGAGGGAGGCAAATAAATGCTCTCTGGAGTCTAGAGAATTGCTTATTCCTAAGAATGAATGAGTATCAGAACAGATCAGGACTAGCCCAGAAGATTCTTTAAAAGTGGTGGAAACGTGTGTTTGATTGTTTTCAGACTGAGTGTTGGATGGGGAATGTATTTTTCAGTAGTAGATCAGAGGAAGTGGTAAGTCTATTTATTTGACTTGAAGCATTTTATTTCATGCCAAGTGTTTACATTTGTAATAAAGAGGAAAAAATTCTGAACCTGATTGCTGCTTTGATTACAATAAAAGCTAAGAAACAGCCTGTGGATTCCATTCTGATTCCAGGTGTGCTTCCATTCACTGGATTCACACTGGGTGCTGACGGGTCTGGAGTTGGGCAGTCCTGGGTTTTAGTCCCAGCTCCTCCACTCACCAACTGTGTAGCCTTGAGTGTTACTGAACTCGGCTAATGTGTGGAAGGACTTAGCACAGCACTGACACAGTGCTCAATAAATACCTAGGGAAGAAAACCCCCTATCATGCTTTCCCTGTGCATAGGTCCATGGTAAATATATCCCACAGGTGTCAGGGATGCTGTCACAGAACCAGGACCTGTCCTGTTGTGATTTCCTCCACGCCATACACACCACAGAACACGGGTTCAACCTAGCCTGACCTAACTGGGCCCTGCAGCCGGCTTCCAACTGATGAGCATTGTACTGTGATGCTAACTACTGTCCATAGGCTGCCTTGGTTGGGGATCTTTAGTGACTCTGCTTACTTGCTTCTGTCAGGGAAACAGGAAAGATAAGACCTGAGGTGGGTTTCTAGTCCAAGAAAGAACTTTGCTTTGAAGGAAATTACTTTCTCTAGGAAAGAGAGGAAAGACAGTGAGGTTTCCTGAATGGATCCAGGGAAATAAATGTTCATGCTCATAAAAAATTGAAAGTATTTCATCATACTGGGTTGACCTCAAATTCAGCACATTGCTTAAAATAAAGGGAAGGGTGGGTGGAGGAGAATAATCTAGAAGTCCCAGCTTCTAGATTCCTCATTCTCTTCCAGGCTCGACTACTTTTTCTCTCTCTCCAATTTCTCTCTCTCCTTCCCACTCTGTGTGTGTGTGTGTGTGTGCGCACTCTCGTGCATGTCTGTGTAGGAGCTGAGACTTGGAGACAGTGTTAACTAAGAACCACATAAAGTAATGGAGACAGCTATGTTTGCTTTTTTACGCAGGGTCTTTTGTGAAGGAAACACTTAATTCCAGTCTCTTACCTCAACCGCTCAGTGGGACATTTTGGCATCCTCCCAGTATGACCACTGGTGCATATTTCAGTGGATCTGAGAGACACCTGAAGAATGGTTGCTAGAACCTCCAAGAATCAGTGCCTCAATTATACTGATTCTTCTATCAGAGAGACAAGTGCCTGCCCCTGCTCCCTGCCACCCCAACCCAGCCACACTGTGCATGCTCCCTGTTTAAACAGCCAGCAAGGGCACCACTGTGGGATCTGCCATAGCAACATCCAAGTAACCAGAGATGCACAGGTCGGCAGCCCACTGCTGGACTTAACACTGTCAGACCACGGGACTCAACGCAAAATCCTATGCCTCTTGCAGACTCACTCCTGTGTTTCCAACTCTGGGTGATTGTGAGTGATGTGCATGGCCTTTAGAAGGATTTCTGCTTTGTCTTGGGATTAGAACAGGAGACACCCCACCCCTCACCTCAGTACTATTGCCCATCACATTTTTGCAAAGGCTCTGGAATGGCAAGAGGCCAGAGGACAAGTTGTCAGAAACATGCATATTGGAGTTGGGGACCAAAGGAAACAATCCAGATTGTGATTGATGTTAACATAAAATGACCCATGGAGCCTTTTCAGGTGTCCTTGGTGTCCTGGCCAACACCTTCAGACTGTATTTGCTCAAGTGACCATAACAAAGTACCACATGCAGCTTAAACAATAGGAATTAATTTCCTGGCACTTCTAGAGGCTACAAGTTGGAGACCAAGGCATTGGCAGAGTTAGTTTGTTCTGAGGCATCTCCTTGTATCTAGCCCTCTCCATGCTCACATGTTCTGTGCCTCTGTGTTCTAATCTCCTGAAAAGGACCCCAGTCACATGGGATTTGGGCCCACCCATATGACCTCATTTTACCTCAATTTCCCTTCTAAAGGCCCTATTTCCAAAAATACCGTCACACCCTCTCACACCCTAACATATTGGTGGTTAGGACTGTAACATGTGAATTTTGAGGAGACAGTTTAGCCTGTGACAAGAAACAAATCCAGGGCCCTCATTGGATAGTTCCTGTAAATACATAGTTATTAGGGATGATTTCATTTTTCTCAAAACCAAAATTAAAGTTTTAGTGTCTTTCTTGTGGCTTCCTAATAGGTGACCTAGGCTGTCGATGTGGAGGATTTGGGATGGGCAAGTCTTAGAAGAGAGACTCTTCCCTTTATGACACTAGAGCTGAGGGACACGATTAGTAACCACCAACCAAGCAGTGTATGTCCTATTAAACATGCCAAACAAGATATAACCTGCACTGCAGAATCTATGCAGAGATGAGTCACTGAATGTATTGGTTAAGGTAATGCTAGTGACTATTACAGATAAACCCCTCATGTTAAGATGTAGCACTGTGAAGCAATCCGCAGCCACTGCAGCATGAGTTCTATCCCCAGCCAGGGAGCAACCCACATGGCACAGCAGACCTCTCCTGACTTGCCCCCTGCTCCCCTCAGCAGTGTATTTCAGTCAATCTGCCTGTTCTGTTCCCCACTCTGTCTCTGGTGAATCCTCTCATGCCTCCGCACCTCTGGCCTGTACCCCAGTTCTTGTATGCATAAATAAATAAATCTTTAAAAACAAAACAAAACAAACCCCTCAGTCTAAGGGGTTCATATATATAGATTTATTTTTTCTCGTGTAAAGTCTGATGGGCAGCAAAGAGGTGGGAATGGGGATGACTGGTCTATAAAGTCACTGCAGCCCCGAGGGTGGTGACAGAGACTATGCTATCTCCAAATAAGACTCCCTGGGTAGATCATGATTTAAAGGACTGAGCAGTACCACACCCCAGGTCCTCACACATCAAGACCATAGGCTTTGTCTTTCACCTAAGACACCCTCTAAGATCCCCTTGTAGACAGCAGGGGAGGAGGAGGGACTTCATAACACTCAGGTAGGAAAAGATGAAAGTTTGGGACACTTCGACAGGGGAGGGGAGAGTTGACCCTGTAGTCTAAGGTCTGCAGACTTCAAAAAGTCTCTTGAAAGGAGTAGTAAAAATCCACATTTGAAAGAGGTCAACATATTTGTTCAGAAAATAATTTTGAATCCATGAAGAGATTAAACCATTTGCCCAGTTGGAGTAAAACACTGGCGATATCTTGATAATTAGGATTTTTAACTTTTAGAGCACATGGCAGGAAGTTCTGTTGCAAGGTGGGCTGAGGTAGGCATTGACCTCCTGCTAGCAGAGAGGAGAAGAAATAGAGGGTCGAGGAAAAGGTTTTAAAGGGCCAGGCCTGGATGTGGTAGATGTGACTTTGGCCCATGTCTCACTGGTCAGAACTCAGTCACATGGGGACTGTAAGGGGACTGCCAAATCTCAGCTGGAACTCCCTGCTGTGGAAGGGGGGAGGAATACTTAGTGTATATGAAAAGAAGGACTCGGGCCTCCCTGGTGGTGCAAGGGGTTAAAACGCAGCAACCTATGAATTTGTCCGCAACCACTGCAGCACAAGTTTGATCCCCAGCTGGCCAGGGAGCAACCCACATGGCTCAACAGACCTCTCCTGCCTCGCCCGCTGCTCCCCTCAGCCGTGTACTTCGGTCAATCTGCCAGTCCCCCACTCTGTCTCTGGTGAATTCTCTTACTCCCTCCCACAAACCTCTGGCCGGTACCCCAGCTTTTGTATGCATAAATAAATCTTAAAAAAA